CATTGGAGACCTTACTGGAGGCTTTGGCCACCATTAGCATAACTCGCAACCTCATCAGGATATGCAAGGTTCTCTCTCGTGATAAAGTCCGTGGAGGAGATTTCATGCTAATGTACTTCTGTCATTCGTTACCACTTTCAGACCCAACTGATCTTTATTTTCCTTTAAAGCACTCCACTGCTCTCGAAGTTCCAGAATAAGTAATCCTGTGAGATGCTCGTTTTCATTATCATTGCACGCTACCTTCATCATAACACTCTTCCGAAAAGGACTTCTGGTTTGTTGGTTGTGACAATTTAACTCTAACTGTAATCGACAAATAACAGGATCGGTAGTGCGTTGTGATTGTAACAGACTTAATTTGAAAATGATTAGTGAAACTTATGGGGAAACCCTGATTTGAAAAATCAGGAAAAATTAAAAAAAATTAGCAGGAATTAAATGTACAACTTAACTGCTGGCGTTTTTATGTCGTTATTCGAATTGTTTCGGAGGAATTGATTAATTGAACCAATAATGGGAACAATAAGCAAGGCTGCATTCAATCAAGATATTGCGGAACTTGTTGAGAAAACAGCGGATTTGGACCTGAGGTACCAGTGGCAGTTTAATGATGTAAGTACCTGTTTCCAAAATTTTGTTTTTCATTTTCAAAATTTTCAGAATTATAATATTGAAGTTTGACATGCTGGTTCAGATTTTCACCACCAACCTGTCACACAGATCATAGGAGTTCTTTTCAGTTGTTTAGAAAGTCATTCAAGTGGTGATTTTCAGAATACATCTTGTCTTTTTCTTTTGTTTGCCTTTTTATTCACGAAGCACTATTCGAAATGAATAAGGAAGGAATTTAAGCTATGTAAATCAAGTAAAGTTTGGATTTCGTGACCTAAGGGATATTAATTGAAGATTACTTTATTTTTGTTCAGAAAAAAGACGAAATTTCTAAAATTTCAGTACAGAAATGAGCAGTTTTTATCGAACAGTTCAGTACTGGAATTGAACGGCGAAACGATTTTACGCACATTTCATATTACTTATAGTGAAAGCTATGGAGTTCCCATACTGTGGTTTATTTTTAGTCGGCAAAGTTCTTTTTTATTCTTCATTTCATATTATATGCAACCATTTTGAGAGTGAATAATGACAATGCTTTATTAACTCATAACAGTTGCTTTAATACATATTTCCAAAATCAACTTAATACATAAACAAGAAAAATTCACATCAGTATCAGGTCATTGGTTAGTCTTATGGAAATTGTCATCCGTATTTTTTCATGCTGCTTACGCTTGAAATTATATGTTAAAGCAATGAGTGAAGTTCCTGAAGCACATGTTTCAAAACCGGAACAAAAAGTTAAGCGTTATTTGTGTTTTCAAAAGCCTGCAGAAACATTAGTTCAAATTAAAAAATCAAGCTAGCTTTATCAGAAAAGGACATTCGGACATTGGTTATGTATGTAAAAGTTATGTAATGATTTGTTGCAGCCGGTGCTTTATTAAGCATAGAGGAAATTTTGGAACTAATGCCTGCTGATAAACAGAAAGCAATATCGGCAGATTGTCTAACTTCAATATCCCAACGCGAGCATCCTGCTTTCAACCTTCTTTTCTACCACTTTCACCCTTGTAGGACAGCAGATGTTATGAAGAATGTCCGCTATGATAATTATGTTATTAGGTGAATTATTTTCGTTTGTTTTTTTTTGCATCGAAAAGGAGATGATTAGGGACTTCTGATACTTGGCAGTTTTTTAAGCTACCAGTTTTTGTAAAATGTTTTTCTTTTTTTTTTTTTTACTATGATAGTGTAAAAGAGTGGATCTACATGATGCTTTTTTATTTTTCTTATACAACATTTTGAATTTAAAAAGGTGGAGGAGTCTTCGTGCAGGCGAGTTTCTAGTATTGATGATTTCCTGATTTCTTTGACCGGTCGTAATTTTTTCAGCTGGCTATCAATTTTCGGCTCACTTTTGCATTTGTTACCGCTACCAAATGAAATATTTATGAAAAAATGATGTTGTAACAGCTACTGGAGTAAACAACTATGGTCTTTCTTGATGTTTAAAATCATTAATTCTATTTTGAATTTTCAGTCATTTGATAGTACTGCATTAAGGAAAAAGACTGGGTGATTCCAAAATTAATACATTTGCTGGTAGCAGTTTATTGCATTTGTCTTGTTCAGGTGATAGCAATATGTTTGTCATTGTTATTGGATGGGAAGGAAGAAGGAATAATGCATTTATTTCAGCTTTACATTTGTTGTCATCAATTTTATACCCTTTCTTTATTTATGTATATTTTAATAAAAAATACTCCATCTCGATTGAAAACCTTCAGACTTTTATAGTCCATTCCTTCTGTTATTTTTTTAATGGTCTATTGTAAGACAAAGCACAATATATGTCTGTGCGCTGTTAAATCACTTAGTTAGATTAAAAACTTTTATCAACCGCGGAAAAGCTTATATATCTTTTATCGTTTGTCATGATAGCGTTATGAACATCTAGACATCCCTTTTTCAGATACTTAGGTCGACTTTAAAGGTATTCCAGTATTTTGGTCGTTTAAGTCATAATTTAGCAAGAGATTTACGCTTACTGGGATTATTTCGAACTTGGTTTCATACTTCAAAACTTAGTTAGGAATCCGAGCGATTCAAAATACAGTTTAGTATTTCTCAAATATCGGGATTTCATTAGATTTGATACGAAAAAAATAAGCTACAACATTCATTATTATTGGATTCTGACTTCGTCAAATTCTGATCAACAAGAAACTGAATTTTAGAAACTGAATTAATTTTAGGATAGTAATGAAGGCGAAGGAAACAGTTGGTATGATCCATCGGATGTCATCGAAGTGTGTAACGAATCTTTCAACTGATTTACCTTTCACAGTGACAGTACAGAACGGAGCGCCGTTTATCTTCATTTTTTACATATTTATTTCAAACAAAATTTTGCATTTTTTTCTAAAGCTAAGACTGATCGGCAACATTACAACACACTGTTTTAGGAACTGTTGTCAAGAATCTTCATATAAAATATAGCTAGGCTTGATTTAGTAAGATAAGTTTGATATTTATGAGTGAAGTTTATGATGTGTAAAAAATCCGACATGAAGGATTCAATATGCATGTCTTAAAATGAATAATGAATAAAGGAAAATAGAATGACGATGACGAAATGATGTAGGAGTACATGAACTTCTACAAAATCATTGTAGCACTGATTTATGTATTTATCTAAGCTCACTCAAGAACAGTCGGTAATACATTACTATTTTGACCGTTTTCAGATAATGAACAAATGGAATGCAACATTCATAAAAATATCGCACTTAATCTTAACCAATATTTTTCGCATTGACATGTGAAGAACGAAAAGCATGTGTTCATTTCTTGCAAAGTTTTAATAACTCAGTTATTTAAATCCATTCAAAATCGTATTATGGCTTATTTGCAATAAAACGAAAAACGAAACTCGTTTCAAACGTCTGAGAATAACAATTGACAATGTTATTGTCTTCACTAATTGGCTAAAAAAGATGGTGTATAAAGTTTAACCTTAACGTAAATGGATAAACATAGAGATTACAAAAATACCCGTAGAAATAACGCAGTCATTGACATCACAAATTGAGGCCAATATTTGAAGAAAGTAGATAAAATGTGAGGATTAAAAAAAGTGCAAGTTGTTAGAGAGAGCATACGTGCTTTTTGGTGAAGACAGCCGATCAAAAAATGTCTACTCAAGACCAACGCATAAATGACTTGACCGCTTTTTGGTAACACACTGTGGATAATAAAACCAGTTGAGTGGTTCTAATTTTAATCTGAATGTCCAGTTCTTTTTTTTTACAAAGAAGCATAGATCAAAAATGTCTGGTATCTTTTGAACTTGTCATCAGGGGATAGGCAAATATACAGGTCACGTGCGCTTGACAGAGAAATGATCAATGAAAATACGTTTTGCTATACTCTTTCAAACATTTCAGTGATCTAGAGGAACTGCGCTATAATGAAAGGCCTTGTATTAATTGTGTAGTGAAGTATTCAGCAGTTATCGAAAAATCAATCGCCAACCAGTTTTGAAAAATTGTTTAAAGAAACCTTGAACCAACAGCCAAAAAGAAGAGAGAGAGAGATGGACAAAAGTAGTGATGGTATACGAGGAAATTAGGCGGGAAACATTCACTTTTTAACTTTCATCACTATTCATGAAAACATCCGAATCTATTCTAAGGAAAGGTCAAAAAATTGTGCGGAACAACTCCTTTCATATAGAACAATTCGAAATATGTAAGACAATGAACTCGAAGTATTTAGACTCAATCAAGAAATGATTTCCTTAATGTAGTGATGAAAAGGCAACGGGAAATTATAACACACTGATCACAAAGTGATGTGCAGTGCATCCTTACTAAACAGCACGCTGGTTGGGTACATTTGTATGGACATAATGGTGCACATCAGCAACTGGTGCAACAACTTTCCGAAATCTTAGTGCAAAATTTGGACGAATTTGAAAGTACGGACTTGGATAGAACGATGTCCTACGGCGATAGCTAGATCGTGCAAGCAGTACCGCACATACCAAATAAGACAGCATAGCACCACTGGAAAGGAATTTATTAAATTCTTTTATTGGCTTTTAAATTTTGATCACTAAAATCTGTTTATGGACAATTCCTACAGGAAACCGAGAATTCTCGCGCAAGCTGAATAAATTTTTACAATGAATTTGTAATCTTATCCTAATGGAAAGACAGACTTTTATCAAAAAATCCGTCTGTGACTTCAATGCTTGGAAGTACCTTACGTCTTTATCGATATTTTCGAAAAAATATAAAGTTTAAAATTATTTGATTAATAACCAATAAATTCAAAGATACCCGGTTATTCATCATAAATATTTGGTTATTTGGTGCATTATTTCGGTATCCTTCGAAGGATACCGAAATAATGCAGCATACTTTATCATAATATACGCTAATAAACTTACAATTTATGCTGATTCAGATCTGAAAAACTAAATCGTATCGATTTTTATCAAAAATGCTACAGTGTATGCATTCTGACGATTTGGTAAATCAGCATGGCAAGATAGAAAAAGTAAAAATACCAAACCTAGTTGCCAAACAACCAATTAAGAACCATAGTAGTCTGCTTCGGGATATACTTTGACATGCACTTGTGAAAACTGTGTCATCGAAAATATCTGCAAATCTTTCAAACTTAGATGTAAGTTCATATGATTCCATTACAAACATTTAAACAGAACTGTTTAAACTAACATGAAATTACAAATATTTCTTCCCTTCACATCATTATAGTTTCGTAATCGAATCCCTCAAACTATTTTTACAATACAAAGTCTACAACAAATTTCATATTAAGATTTTGGAGGTTGCACAGAAAAGTGCAAGTGAAAAGTGAGTCTTGCAAAAAATTTTAAAAATATCAGTAAATTGCTTAAAACAAATTACCACTAGATACAAGCGGAATGGCATCCATGTATGTTTTGGCACTTGTACGGCCTGCAAAATTTCTTGCAACACATTCATAAATACCAGTATCTTGACGCAAAAATTGTTGTATTTGAAGTGAGCCATTTGAATTCTGAACAATTCGTTTGGTCGACAAATCAACTGCCTCTCCATTCTAAAATTCTATAAAAGATAAACAAAAAAAGCTAAATACCAAAGGGTAAATATAAATTACTAATGGAAATGCAAATAATTCATGCCACCAAAATTCTATGCATTTCATGGAATGGTGTAGTAAAATTAACATGAATGTATCTACCAAGAACCAGTCATATGTTGGTGGTGGGATAGCTTTAGTTCTTGGGCAGTCAGCAGTGACATGTTGTCCAAAGTGTGCTAGAGCTGGATGAAATATTGGTCGGGAATTACTTGGAAATGGCTCCACATAGGCAACAACAATTCGAGCCACTTCACCTTCTTGTCTGTTATCTATTCGACGACACCAATAGTCGCCTTCATCCTCTGGAACAAACAAAAAGTTTCGTCAACTTTAGAAAGTTCAATTTCATTAAAAATTTCAGAGAAATCAGAAATCATTAATTACCTGCAAAACCTACAATCATCTGTAATCACATGCAAGCCCTTGTAATCATCTCAAAATGCAAATTTTAACGTTTGCAGAAAATGAGAAAAGAACGGATGAGAAATAGCAAACCGAGAGAAATATTTGTAATAATAAGGAACCCAACATCTGGAATGGCTTGTTCGGTATAATATGTACAATCGTGTAACACTGCGTTTGAAGTGCTGCAAGTTCTATTATAAAATGCTGTTAAATATAAGAAATATGACCTGCATTAGACTGCAGGTTATGTTGTGGGATGTGTATACTGAACAAATGCAAAATACGAATGACTACTCTGACTTTTTGCTTCTCAGATTTGGCATATCCCCTAAAAATTCCATTCAACAAGGAATGTAGCTGTAAAACGTATGGAAGAAATTCAAAAGCAGAACTTTTTCAAATGTTTTTTTTTTTTGAATTCTAAGTTATTACCAAAACGACCAATATTTAAACTATTACAAACACAGAAACAAATATGGTTTTCAAATTCGCTAAATGTCCAGTACTTATGAGGAAGAGAGACTGGAATTATTTTGTAAGCTATAAATTTTGCGATGCTTATAAAGTTGTAAGGATTTGGTCTTGTAAAAAAATATTTCCAAACTAAAACGATATATAAATTTGAAATAGTTACCTTGAAACATTTGCAACAATTATGCCGTTGTGATACCATTGTGCCTGGCTACTGGTACCAGTAAATACCGGTTCACACATCAAAGCTGTTGTTGAATATCTGTACTTATATTCACATATAATTAGAAAAGCTCATTTTATCGTCCAACTTTTGGACGATACAATCAAATCAATAAAAGATCAAAAAACCAAACTTTGATTAACTTTGATCAAAGTATTCGTAAAACTTCTAAGGGATCCCAATCCAATTCTACTTGTTTTTCCTCAAATCAAAACATGCATGCATTGTTAGCAATGTACTCCACTTTGTCATTCTATTTTATTGATTCTGTACTTATTCACTCTCAATCAAAAAGACACCAACATTTGATAAATTTATTTTCACATAAATCTGAAAGTCTTTAAAGTCCTTCCAGCATTTCAAGTTTTCTCATTGACCGACCTTTTTTGTAGTCTCTAACCCATCAGAGTACGAACTCAGTTCGCAAAAGTATATTGGAGAATGAATATCAAAATAACTATGCGGTCCGAATTTATAATATATTTTCCTATATTTTTGATTCATAAACATCCATTTTTCTTTTCTTTTTGCTGGATTTGTCCGTTTATCTGTATCGGAAACATTATTATACAGTTCTATGGTTATGCCGTCATAATCGAATAACGATGAAAGCCGACTTGAAACTTCTTCTCTTTTGTTGTCCTTCTTGTCCCCTCTGTGTCCTTTGGCACTTTCCACTCCGATCTTTCGAATTTTATTTTGTAACCTTTGCAGCTCAAAAGTACATTGAGGAAATTATTGATAGTTGTTTGAAATGAAACTAAACACATATATTCGTTTTTCAAAACAACAACTTTT